GACCTACACATTCCTCCATCTGTCTCTTGCTTGAATGGCCTTTTGGTCAGAGCCATAAAGACTGGTTCTCTTGGAAGAACGGCATTAAGGGAAAGCTTAGCCATTTGAAATAAGCCTGCTGCATAACTACTTGCTCTTCTAGTAATTTACATTGTTATAACAAGGACCCTGCTCTGGCTTTAAATCTGCAGCCGATTCAATAGCCTGTCATGTTTATTTAAACCTAATGCCTGCTGTGAGGTTTGCAGCCTCACAGAGACCCTCCTGTGCTGTATCACATTGCCCAGAGGGATGCTTCCTTGAATCTTTCCAAGGCTGCTCCTGCCTAATTCTCCTCTAAAGAGCCATAGACAGTAGCAAAAAGAGTGATGGAGTGTCTTTGCTTGCATGTATCATTTTGCAAGGCTGGCCATTTATCATAGAAAAAACCAGCGGTTTAACAAGGCAGCCTTCCTCGGACCCTGCACTTCCCCCCCAAAATTACAGAAAACACAGAGGGGGGAGGCCTGAGTCAACACCATTTTGGGCAAAAATCTTTCTCTTGAAAAGATACATTAGACCACTAAAAAATCCAGGTCACTCTTGGGTGCTGCACAACACTGGATATGAACAGATCCACCTGGATGAGAACTGGCTGAGTGTTGCTCAGCCATGTGCCTGGAGAGGGAAAGACGGTTCATTGTGAAAACACTGCAAGGGGCTTTTTTGACACAAACCGCATGACTGTAACACACAAAACCTCACAGTTCAACAGTTGTGTGGTCACCACTCCCCGCTACTTCCCTTAATCTACATACAATCAGAGCAGCCCCTGCCATTTTCCGGAAATTGTCACAGGACCATGCCCATTATGACAGCAGTGGGGTGCATTCAGTTGTCAGAACAGAAGCTCAGGTTTGCCCCCTTCCGAGCTGCTGGATGCGTCTTGCTGTGTGTGGTGCTTTCTGCATCCACTCGCTCCCTTTTTAGGGAGATGGGTGACGTGCAAACTTTGGAAAACACCCCCCTTTCCACAACATGTAGCATTTATGGGCTAAGCCAGTTTGGCTTCAAAGCAAAGTACATTGGAACAGGTAAGTCATTGCGATGAAATGTGCACAAGGCTCTTTGCTGTGGGCAGTGCATAAGGCAGAGAAGACAGCTAGGGTTGTGATGGGGCATCAGAGTGAACCCCACAACATACTAAACATACCACAATCGCATATTATAACACAGAAACTGCAACTGCTAAAGGAACAGGATATTTTCTCATTGTCTCTGCCTTCTTTTGAGCATCACAATTGACACATGAGTCTACGTGGGGCAGATCCTCAGCTGGGGGGAAACGCACACTGGCGGATGTAAAAGAGCTGAGGATCTGGCTGCATGGGCATCTACTGTACTGCAAAAAGCTGCTCTTTTTCTCTGATGATTCAATAGCATATTCAATAAGGACAAGAGCCGATTCATGTTTCCTCTCACTTTTTTCATCCATGTGCGGAAAAAATGTTATGTGCACCGAGGCATGTGTAGATGTGCACCACCACTAGAAATACAAGCTGCTGGCAGTGGGCACTTTACTAATAAGCTGGGCAGCATTTGAATCTCTCTTAGGTGGCTGCCCAAGCACTCAGCTTGCAGGGAACACAGGAGCCCATGTCCTTTGAAGACTGGATCAGCCCCTGAAGCACTCACCTCATGACTCATCACTTAACTTCCCCTCTGGAGATCTGTGTTTCTAGCCAGCTACCTATCCTCTGCATCTATTCTGAGGCAGCTTTTCACCAAAGAAACACTCTAGGAAGGACACCCAGGATATGGCTACACTAGTTCGAACTAGGGTGGCTAGTGTAACCATACCCCCGGAGATTAAACCCAGCACTAAGGTGATAGTGAAGGTTAAAGGACTGGATCCTGGAGTGAAATGAAAACCTGGCCCCCATCAGGGCTTTCATGAAGAGCTCTACGGAATGGGGTCAGGAGTCATTCCGGGGAAGGGGGAAGGAGGGACGTCGGTCAGTGACTGGAGAACAAGCTGAGAAGAGGAAACTCAGGATCAGAACATGCATAGAGCCTCTGCCCCTAGCTGATCCACTGACACTGTGCAGGCCCGTCTGAGGTGGCTGGGACTGCGCATCTGTGGACAGGCAACCTTGAAGTGCTGTGCTCCATTGCACTTCACATACGCAACCACCCAGCCCCTGTCTCCCCCAGGTGATGGTGCTGCTGGCTTTGCAGAAGAGGTGGATACAAGCAGAGGTGCAGGGCTCAGAGACAGGTGCTGCTCTCTCCCCCCTCCGCCCCAAGAGAGAAGAGAGCTCTGCAATGGACTCATAAGCAGCAAAGCCACCAAGCAGCCATGCAGGCTGGAGGATGGACGCCACGTCTCACAGCTGTGCATTTAGTGCCTAATTTATTCCACAAGGGCTCCTAGCTTTGGTCTTCTCCAAGCACCACTGAATGCAGCAGGAGCTGTGTTCTGCAGAGCCAGAGCCAGAGCTGGCTCTTAGTTACCTGGATGCAAACCATGGCAGCAACTTGGCTGAACCCAATGCAGTTGCTCTGGATTCATAGCAGGGGAATAGGGCAGAATTTGGCCCCGAGCGTTTTATCAACCTCCCCCATCTGCCACAACATGGCAGATTCACTAGCAAAGCCTGGGGCTAAGGAAAGGTAACAATGGCTGGAAGGGAATTCAAAACACAGCTGTGGTTAACAAGGAATTCCACTAGGATGCCCCTGGCCCTGGGCTATTATGTGGAGTTGCTCCTTACCACACAGGGAAAGGGGCAAGTGGCTGATCTGCCCAGTCGTTCCCATCACCCCTGCAAATGGATGCTGTGAAGCAACTGCCTCCCCACAGAAAGGCATACTCATGACACAAGGAGATTCAGTTTGCCGCATTCCCTGCAGGCTCTGTTCTATGGCAGGAGCCTGTATCATCTTGACTTCTTGGCTGCATTTCCCCAAGTGGAATAAATCGTAACGGAAATGGGATGGCTGCAATGGGAGAGGAAGCAGCAGAGGAGGAAGCGTTTTTGGGCAGGGTTAGAAAGGATCTTCCCCACAACAGCTGATAAAAACTAGGTCCCCTGGAAGGAGGTAGGGAGGTTTCTCCAAATATGTCAGGTCTACAGCCCTCAGGGAGCAGCCTGATTTACAGATCAGGAAGGGATAGGCAGGTGCAGGGTTGCATTCAACTTGTCCACAAATTTACTGATACGGGGCCAAAAATCAGTCTGGTGGTGTCAAGAGGATGAATTTGAACCAGTGCTGGGATCAACCCCCTCATTCTTTCCCCTCATGCTGAGAGAACTGGTAACTCCATCTTGCCCCCATGCCAGGTAAGAAAGCAACTCTGATATAGCAGCTGGGAATTCCCTTCCTTTGTCCCCAGGCACCTACTGCCAGCCACATACATTCAGGGACCGTCAATAAATTTGTGACTGTTCAGCAACCCTGAGCGTGGGAAGGACAGAAGCATGGATCAAGAAAACTGTGTTGGGACAGAGTGAACATGAACTTTCACACAGATGGAGTCCAGTGAAAACAAACTCAAGAGACAAATACAGGAGCGACGGACTCGGAGTTAGTAAAACAATGTGGAAGGAAGAAATGGACAAAGAGAGAGTTAAGTGGGGAGGAGGGATGGGTCTTTTGGGTGTCCCACAGGAAGAAGAACAAATCAAGCAGTAACTAGACTGTGCTTGCGCTCAGCCACTGGCTACCCCCCTGTTCACTTGCTTTGTGGATGGCACTTTCCAAGGCACTGATGTTTGGATCAGAACGGGTCTACAGGATACCTGGAAACAACTGGCCAGTGGCCGCTGCTAGGTCTTCAGTTGGGAGGAGGACGTGCGCCTGGTGAAATTTTGTGCTGTTTTTTTGCGAAGTCTGGAAGCGACCAGGGGCCACAGACTGTGAGTCTGATCAGCTCCTGGTACAAATTGGTGCAGCTCCGATGAAGCTAAGAGAGCAGCACCAATACATTTACCCTAGCAGCCACCCCCGCCCTGTATCACTAAAACGGTCTATTTCCTACCGACAAGCAGCACACGTTCCAGCATCCAACCAGCAGACCTGCCGCTGCGGTGCCATAGGTGCCATCTGCGCTACAAGACGCCACTGTGCTGGGGGAAGAACCAGTAACCCCACAGTAGCCCTGTCCCAGTTGAGGCCCAGTCTGGCCTTGCAGCGGACACAGGCGTGAACCATGTTTGAAAAACGCTCCCACCTTGCGGAACTGCAGCTTGATTCAGAGCTGTGGATAAACCCTGGCTCCTCTCCGTGTGAGCAGGCCCACGCCACGGCATGTTGCAATACGGTAGCTCTTCACTGGGAAGATGGAACCCAAAGCCAAAAGGACAATTGTCCAGTGACCCTCTTCTGTAAACTAGCAAAGCTGCCTAGGCAGGTAGAAACCCCCCATTCCTCACTCACGCACGGTCAGTGCTGACAAAATGGGGAGAAGAGCAACGCTGCTTGTGGAACCCTCCCCTCCGCCTCCCAAGGGGTCTGTCCTACCGTGTATCTCTAGGTCCCCTTTTGGACCCTTCTCCTTAGCGACCCTGACCAACAGGGAGCAGTCAGGAAAGGGGAGACCACTGATCTCTCCCTTGGCTACAAAATAGAGGGCCACAGGCCCCAGCTCCCTGTCCTAAGCTCTCACTTGAAGGCTGAATGGCTTGAAAAGGAGGTGGAGATGGTTTTGATCACCCAGCAAGCAACAGAAGGCCAAGACCTTCTGGCCAAAAGCGGCAAAGAATTCACATCACTGCCTTCCATGACCTACTCCTGCTGGAGTTGGAGACCTGCAGTCAGTCCTTCCCTGCCCCGCAGCTTTGCTCCGGGACTGTGCTCATAAGGAGGTGGGCACTAGAGCGGAACATCTCCTGCCTCCCGGCTGCCTGGCTAGGCACACACGTCTGTTGCAGTGGGACAGAAGTGGGGAGTGAGGGATAGGGAGAGTGGAAATTCTGCCCCTTCCCCCCAAAGTTCATGTTCAGCAGACTGCCACTCACCAGGGAAGCAGGCTTCAGAGCACAGCTTATTGTCCAGCGCTTTCACGCTCACGATGTCAATGTCATTGTTATTGTCACACTCCATACCTAGGAAAGCACCTGTCCTCTGGCCTGCAACGGAGTTAACGCAGTTAGAGAGGCAGCGGTGTCCCCCCATCTCCTCGTAAAATACAGGAAGAGAGACAACAATCAAATGTAATCACAGAGCTCTAAAAATGACAAGAAGAACGACATGGGTAGAGAGTGGACAATAAGGAGTCAGATCCGTGTGCATGCATTTGTGTCAAGCCATCCTGCTGTTTTCCCAGCCGCCTCCTTTCTTGTGCCCTGACAACTGACGTCACCCATGGGAGGCTGCGGAACACAGGAGGACACTTAACAGACACATCTAAAAGAGCAATACGTATGCAGGTGAAAAGGCTGAGAAGAGAGTAGCTGGGAAAAGCAGCTAGTGAGATTTCTCCCTGTCCATGCTTTTGTTTGCCTCTGGTCTGCATCTGGTATGAGTAGGGCTGTGGGAATGTGAGGCTACTAGAAAGTAAAACCAGCAGTAGAATCTCACCAATTCTCACTTTTCTGGGGGCGGGGGGGAGGGGGGGAGAGAGGGAGAGACTCACTGCCACCTCCCCCGAAACACACCCTGCCAGCAACCTCTCTCCACTTCCATCCCGGATTTAATTGCTGGGAAAATGCAACAGGGCAGGGAGAAACGGCTTTTTGGAGTGGCTTGAGGGCTTATTCTTTGCTTGTTGTCTAACCAGAGACACACAAACATGGAAAGGGGAGGAAAAAGGGAGATTTGGACCCTTGCTGACACTCCCAGTGAAAGCAGTGGGAGCGTGGCCTGTTGACTTCAAGGGAAACAGGTGGAAGCCTCAGAACTGCAATTCATTGCAGCTCCTTTTCTAGGGGGAATGATGGGGTACAACTCGAGAAAGGGGCAAGAGAGAAATCTGAGTCTGCTCACACACCAAAGCATATTGGGAAATTAAACCAGTCGAGAGACCTGCTCGATGTTCCCTTACTTGAAAAACAAACCACCACCACCATGTACAATAACCTAGAAGGGGGAGATTTTCAAAGGGCAGCTGGAAGAGAGAGATCTCCAGTGGGAAGCAGGCACCTCCCTCCCATTTGTGCCTTTGAGAACACTCCCCTTAATTGGCAAGTAGACTGAAACCTGAGGGGTGACAGGCACCATTCCAGCAAAGGAACCTCTCTTCAGAGACTGTCCAATCCCATTGCCAGTGGCAGCACAGGACTCCAAGCTGGAAGTCTCCAGGCAAAGGGAGGGGGATCCGGCAGGCTGTTTGCTGGGCTGTGTATACGATAAGTGTGCATGGCCACTGAAATGCCAAGAGTGCACCTGGCACTAGACAGAAGCTATGGCCTGGGGAACAAGGAGCAAAGGGGAGAGATGTTGGCTGGCCCCTGAGGACAGTCTGTTAGAAAGAGGGCGGGTGTGTGTGGGGGGGAGTGGGGGTTTGCTCCCTGAACTCTTCTATCTACACCTATGGGAGGAAATAGGAATTTTCCATAATGTTTTTATGAATCCCGGGTATGCCTCAGGTTTCCCCGTCTTTGCATTGTTACCCAGTAGGGGAAATGGGTGTAGTCTTCATGTCGTCTTCTCTTAGAGTAGGCTGAGAGATATAGGTGGCTGCATGTCACCTGGCTGTCTGAATGGGTCATTAAAGCGATTGGCTGAGGCCGACCCATATCCAAGAAGACAATGGAAAACCCAATCACCAGCACCTTGACACCTAACAACCATTGGCCCAGGAGCTGCTTAAAGAGGACCCAGGGGTTGCAGGAAGATGCTGGGGTTAATTCCCTGCTGGCCTAAGTGGGTGGGATTCCATCCAAGTGAATGAAGTTGCATTTGCTTAAGCCACTGCTGAATTTCAATGGTTGGCTTTTCATCAGCAGCGCCTGGCCTGGGACTGGATTTTGCCCAGACAGACTGTGAAGATCCCGACTGCTGCACAGCACTTTAGACGCTGCTGGGCCGGGTGCAGAAAATAAAAGGGGCCTATTGTAGCAGACCCTGAAATACAGCTTCCTTCTGCACCACCCCAGCACACCACCCTGTGTTCTGCTTCTCGGGCTGCGCCACTCGCTCCTGCGCACTAGCCGAGTGGGGCTGCAATGAAACACTGGAGCGGCTGGGGGTCCCTGCCTGATCCGCTACATTTCTCCTTTTTGAGAGATCCCGGCCCTTGTTGTTAGAACAGTGCGAGGTCGGAGGGGGAGGACAGACCCCTCTGCTCCCTGCTCCTCTCTCCTGCGTAATGGCTCACCCTAACCATGCCTGTTTCTCAGCTGCTCCCTGGAGAAGGCAATCAATCGCTACAAGGGGCACAGAGGGCACTTTGGTTGCTGCTCGAGTGACCTGAGCCAAACCCCCTCAGCTTTTGGATGTTCCCATTCCTGGCTCCAGGTCCAGCCCATCTCATGTTTCTGCTGCCTCTAAAAGCCTGAGGTGCAGCTCAGATAACCAGCCGGGGGAAGGCGAAAGGGAGAAGAAAGGGGATCCCAGGACACTGCGAACTGTACTGTCCATACACCATGTACTGTGCAGACAGCACCACGTCTGTGCCCTTCCGTGGGACCTGATACAGATGGAGACACTCCTCGGAGCCTGAGTCTTGACATCAAGGGATTCAGTCACCTCCCAGAACATACTGCACAGACACAGATCATCTCCGTCTTGCACTCACCCTCCGCCAAGCCGCCTGTGCTCCCCAGTACCACTCTCTGAGCCCCAGTTCATGGTGAAGGAAGAGAAGATGACCCGCTCCTACTCTGCACCCAACAACCAAGCAGGCTAGTCCCAGTGCGGGCCGACTCTCCTCCTCTGACTAGGTGTGACACCCTGAGCATACGATATGCTCTGTGCTTGCTGGGGAAACAGAACCAAGCTAGCGGGGAGGGAGTAATGATCCACGTCGGTTACCGTCTTCCTGGGTGGGAGATCCGGCCTCTTCATCCAGAACGTCGTTCCCCTGCGACACAGAAGACAGGCAGTGAAAGGCAAAGGACTCTGTCCAAGAACCAGGAGCTGAGTCCTTCAAACACCATCCACCTCCTCTCCACAGGCTACCCTCTACCTCCTGCACTTACCTAGCTCCCCCAGCACCTCTTGACATGCCCTTACCAGCCCAGGGACAATCTGCAACACTGCTAGAGGAGCTGCCCCTCCCAGAGCTACTGCTGTCCTGCCAGGGCTGCTGCAGTCCCCTCAGCTCACAAAGCTACAAGCCAACTCTCCTGCTTGCAGTCCTTGCTCATCTCACCCCCTCCCCAAGCTTTACATGCCAGTTTCTCCAGCCCAGGAGAAGCTAGCACACCCACGTACGTATACTCTGGCCACCAACATGAGCCAAGAGAGGACCTGGGGTTAGAGCTCAGCCCAAGTTTTCAACTGAAGCTTTTTTGGGTGGGGGGCAGTGAAAAAGGCAGATTCTGCAGCACTGAAACATTCTGCAAACTCGTGCAGATTTTCACAAATTGTTTCCTTTGATAAAGAAGCGAGAAGAAATTCTGAAAAAATCCCAATCCAATTTTCCAATCTGAAACGCCTGCTTTAACCTTTCCTTTCATTCTATTGTTAAAAAGCTGAACAATGTCCCTAGTGCAGGCATGTCAAACTCGAAGCCTACTGAGGGTCGCACAAACGAAAACTGATAGGTTTCAGGGCCATCAAAGAAAGTGTACTTTATCAGAAAGTTGTAATTATTTATTATTATAGATTATGTTTTAGGTATATTTTATAATATTTTTTCAGGTCTTATTTTAATATAATACAATAATTTGATGTGTGTAAATGTTATTTGCTCATATAAAATAATTTTTAATTTAAATATAAATTTAAGGTACTTTTTAATTTTTTATATGATACATAACTTGCTTTGTTGAAATAAAAACAAGTATAGACCGTGGTTAACCAAATAGAACATGCTTCTCTGAAAAGCTCAGATACTTTGTAAGTTTGAGATTTTGCATAAACATATAATTATTCGTGCAATTGCAAAAAATTGACATATTTATTGATATAAAATGAATATACATTTTTCAAGTTTATTTGGGAATAAATAAATAAAAAACAAAATATTAACAAAATAACTCCCTCCTCTCCCCCAGAGCCAGGCACTCCCATACCCCCGTTCTAACCAAATCCCCTCCACTCCCGCAGAGCCAGGCCCCTCCAACCTAATGCTTCCTCCCCCCCAGAACCAGGCCCCCCCAACCTAATGCCTCCCTCCTCCCCCAAAGCCAGGCCCCCCAACCTAATGACTTCCCCGACCCTCACAGCCAGGCGCTCCCAGGCCCCCTAACCTAATACCTGGGTCCCAGAGTTGCCGCTGCCACCACCACACATTTCTTCCTCAGGCGTGCTGGGGTGGTGTGAGCACAGGGGCCAGCTGTGAGTGCGTGCTGGGCGCTGGGTGCAGAGTGGCCCGGCTGGCTGTGAGTGCGTGTGCAGAGCGCCCAGCACAGAGCAGCCCAGCCGGCCGTGAGCACGTGCTGGGTGCCGTGTGCAGAGCGGCCCCGGCCGCGAGCAGTCGCTGGGGTGCAGAGGGGCCCGGCCGGCTGTGATCTGCACTCGGCCGTGTGCTCCAAGTGCCCAGCGGGCTGCACGTTATTGCTTTATAAAAATGTAGTGGCAGGCCGCAAAAAATTTCGATTGGGCCGCATGTGGCCTGCCAAATGCCAATTTGACATGCCTGCCCTAGTGGATAGGCAGCCTCGCATTCCTGTCAGGCTGAATGGAGCATTTTGTTGGCCCAGAGACAGATTTTTAAAAAAACTCTTCAATGTGCCAAAAATTTCATTTTTGGTTTGACCTGAAGTGATTTTTTTTTTTAATTCTGTGTTGCCAACTAACCGTACTAATGCTCCCTTATTCACACAGGGATGGTCTGGACAGTACTGGGTCCTGCCATGAGGGCAGGGGACTGGACTCGATGACCTCTCGAGGTCCCTTCCAGTTCTAGAGTTCTATGATTCTATGATTCTACCAGGACTTTCAACCAAAAGCGCATGCCTCTAAATCTTGAGCTACAGAATAGCTCCTTCATGCAACTCACAAGGTCTCACCCTCACTGTGGCAGTGCTTAATTTGTAACGAAAGAGTTGCTGGGGCTCAAACAATAGTTTTTCATTCATAATGGACGTGGAAAGCCCAGAGGTGCCAGGGTTGAGCACTGGTGAGGCCTAGCACCAGTTAAGCACTTCACTGGGACCAGCTGCTAGCAGCCAGTGCAATCACACATGTGAACTCAGTATATTACGCAGCTCATTGATCACCAGGAAAGGCTGCTGACGAGTTCCTTCCTATGAACGTGGGTTTTTACCTCCGCATCTTGCTCCTCTGCAGGGATACTGACAAAATTCGTATCCGGAGATTCCACAGGGGTTGACTGCAAAACAGGGACAAGAGAAGTCAGACGATTCTACTCGCGCTGCGTGGCTGTGAATCAATGCAGTTTGCCGCTAGCATTCTCCATCACCAGGGCTGCCCCAATGGAGCTGGAATAATAGCCCCCCAGCGAGATGGGCCTTCTTCCAGAAAGGCGCAGGCTGAGCAAGGCTTATTAGCCGATTTATTCTCTCTATTTAGTGCTGTACAACAGAGAGTAAAAAAGAAAAAAAATGGTTTTCAAAAAAGCTTCCAATCCATGGTCCTGAACCAAATAATGTTGCTGAGTTTTACTTACAGCTTCAAAATTGTAATTCTGACAATAATTTCATCAAGTTGCTGTTTAAGACAACCCCCTGGCAACCAAAGAGTAGAAGTTTTCTATAGGACAGTGGCACCTAGAGCAGTGATCTCCAAAGTTTTTACACCCAAGATCACTTTTTAAATGTCAGGGCAAGCCAAGATCTACCCCATCCCTTCCCTAAGACCCCACCCCTTCCTTGACCGCCCTCTCTGTTCCCCTCCTCTCCATCACTTGGTGTCCCCAGCCCTTACTCACTCTCACTGGGCTGAGACAGGAGGTGCGGGCTCTGGGGTGGGAATGCGGGATTTGGATGTGGGAAGGGGTGAGAGATGCAAGCTCTGGGAGAGAATTTGGATGCCGGAGGAAGTGGAGAAGGGGCTACTGGCTCAGGGAGGGAGCTCTAGGCTGGGGAGTGTTGGGGTCAGATGGAAGGTTAGGGTGCTGAGCAAGCTGCAGGCTTGTGGAGGTTGGGGTTGCAGGAGTTTAGGTTGGATTTAAGAGGGGTTCAGGGCAGGGGGTTGGGTGTATGATGGGCTCAGGACACAGATTTGCAGTGTGTGGGTGGTGCAGGAGTGTTGGGGCAGAAGACTGGTGTTGTGGGAGTGCAGGAGTTTGGGGATGTGAGGGGCTCAGGACAAGGGGTTCTGGTGTATGAAGGACTCAGGGTTGCGGTCTGCGGTGGATGCAGGAGTGTTATGATGCTGTGGCCAGATGGGGGCTTGGCCCCAATTGGGGGTTTGTTAGCCAGGTTTCATTTTTAAAAAAATATTATGTCAAACACACAACGTTTCAGCGTTGTCTTTATTTATGAGAGGGGTAGGGAACCTGTTTTGGGTCAGGTGTCACTGACCCACAAAAAAATCAGTCCAGGACTACACAAATAAGATGCAAAAACACAACCCCTCCAAAACCTCCGAAGCCTCACTGATGTGGCCTCAACTGAGACACCTCACTCCGGCCCCTGAGTGAGGTTCAGACCAGATTCACTCTTCTGGGGTTTGTGGTGTTTTAGATGCTGCTTGTAATTAGAACTGGGAGCACTGGCTGTTGGGAATCTGGAAGCACAGGAAACAGGAAGGAGGGGGGAGGAGATGAGCCAGGGCTGAGTGAGAGCTACGGAGGGGAGCAGCAGCAGCTTTGTAAAGAGGTTTCACTTTTGGTAAATAAAGGCCTGTTGAAGTTTGTTACTACCTTGCTTGCATGATACAACATTTTGGTGACGAGGATGGATCTTCTGCCTCTGAACCCACCTGCACCTTTTCTGCAAAGGCCAGGTAAGCCTCCAATTGCTTTTACTGCCTGGATCCATATGTTTGAGACTTATCTGCTTGCAATCAGTGCTACAGAGATTTCTGAAGTAAGAAAGCATGCTCTGCTAATCCATTGCCTTGGAGCAGAAGGGCAGCGTATATTTTACACTTTTCCCCTTGCAGATGATAAATATGAGACTGCACTCACTGCATTAAAGAACTTTTTTGTGCCAAATAGGGTACAAGAGCAAGCTGGGGGTAGGTGTCTGGCCAGGAGGGAGGGGGCAGGGGCAGGGCTACTGGTGGGGGCTGGGGCAGGAGCAGGGTGCAGGTGGGGAGGAGCAAAGGGAAAGGAAGGGAGAAAGGGTTCAGGGCTCCTCCGCCAGAAAGTTTTCTTTCAATTGTTTGAGAGCAAAAGGTTTTAAAAAGACTGGAACTTAGCTGGTGCAAACTGAAATGACAAATGGGTGTAACATTCACTGCAATGTTGTTCCAAAGACATTAACTCTCTGGTGACCGGAGTGCTGGAGCAGTCCCATTTAGAGGGGCAATCACACCCAAAGTTGGGTTAATAGCCTGGAAGAGCTGAGATCAATTTTTTCAATGCGCTCAAGTGACATAGGAGGCTAAATCTCATTTTCAAAAGGGACTTAGGCACTTCGTGGTCTAAGTGGCTCTGACTTTCAAAGGGCCTAAGTTTCAATGGACTAGTTACAAAGGCTGTAAGTCATTCGGGCCTTTTGAAAACTGGACCCCAGATCTGAAAGCAGAAGAGCAGTGAAAACAAACGTGAGAGTCTCTGGCATTGTTCCACCAGAGTGAACAAAGGAACCACGAGCTGGTCCATCTAATCTGGTATTCCATATTGAACAGGGATCAAGGCTGGATGCTTTATATGAAGATATATTCAGGGGGGTTGTTTACAGGCTCCCCCCACACCCACATACACGCAGCCCTACCCTCAAATAATCAATCATACTGTGTTACAAAGGGGGGAATTTCTTGCTGGCGATCAGCCTCTCTCCCAATGCATGAAGTGCTTGTTGGTCCACTCTGCCTACCTCTCCTTCTGAAGGAATCCCGCTGGCAGCTGCAGGGGATGGGAGCATGTCCCCCTCCTCCTCGGTGCCCGGAGCGACGTAGGAGCCAGACATGGAGGACACAGTGTCTGTGCTGATCTGGGAGTGCTGACTTTGGGAGGAGGCCATGGACATGATGGACTGGGCCAGGCTGCTGCTGCCAGGATCTGGAGAGAAAAGGAAGCATGGAGAAGGCAGGGCAGCATCAGAAAGGGCAGAGCAGCTGCAGCTGTGCAGGTTTGACTGCAAGGGAAACCGTTTGCAATGCAGATTCTACGATTATGGGTGTCAATTTGCCCTGCTCCCCTTCTCCAGACCCTGGCACTGGTGCCTACGAGCTGGACCCCTGCTTCCATGTCCTATGGCCTGGAGACTCCCATTGGTAACCTCCCTTCAAACACCTAGCAAAGAAACTGCTTTCCAGTGGGAACAAGCTCCTGCTGCATGCAATGCCCACACCAGACCTACAACTTTGGGGCTGGATGGAAGAATCAGTAGGTGAGGCTCTAGCCTGTGTCATAAGAATGGCCATACTGGATCAGACCAAAGGTCCATCTAGCCCAGGATCCTGTCTTCCAACAGTGGCTAATGATAGATGCCCCAGAGGGAATTAACAGAACAAGTGTTCATCAAGTGATCCATCTCATTGCCCACTCCCATCCTCTGACAAACAGGTTTGGGACACCATTCCTATCCGTCCTGGTTAATAGCCATCGATGGGCCTAACCTCCATGAATGTATCCAGTTCTTTTTGAACCCTGTTAAAGTTCTGGCCTCCACAACATCCTCTGGCAAGGAGTTCCATTGGTTGACTGTGTGTTGAATGAAGAAATACTTCCTTTTGTTTGTTTTAAACTTGCTGCCTATTAATTTCATTTGGTGACCCCTAGTCTTTGTGTTCTGAGAAGGAATAAATAACTCTTCTTTATTCACTTTTTCCACACTAGTCATGATTTTATAAACCTCTATTATATCCTCCCTTAGTTGTCTCTCTTCCAAGCTGAGCAGTCCCTGTCTTAGGGTATGTCTATACTACATGCCTCTGGCGACAGAGGCATGTAGATTAGGCTACCGGACATAGTAAAATGAAGCGGCGATGTAAATAATCGCCGCTTCATTTAAATTTACATGGCTGCCGCGGTGAGCCGACAAACAGCTGATCAGCTGTTTGTTGGCTCAGCGCGGCAGCCATGTAAATTTAAATGAAGCGGCGATTATTTAAATCGCCGCTTCATTTTACTATGTCCGGTAGCCTAATCTACATGCCTCTGTCACCAGAGGCATGTAGTCTAGACGTACCCTTATTAATCTCTCCTCATATGGCAGCTGTTCCATATACTTAATCATTTTTGTTGCCCTTCTCTGAACTATTTTCCAATGCCAAGAGATCTTTTTTGAGATAAGGGGACCACACTGAGAAGCAGTATTCAAGATGTGAGTGTGCCATGGATTTATATAGAGGCAATAAGATATTCTCTGTCTTACTCTCTATCCCTTTTTTAATGATTCCTAACATTCTATTTGCTTCTGTATGCAGGAGGTCAGACTAGATGATCACGATGGCCCCTTTCTGGCCTTAACACCTGTGAAATCTACAGTAGGGATGTTAAAATGTGGTTCATTTATTAATCAAGTAGTCAATACAATTTTTATCAACTACTCAATTAGTCCCGGCTTACACCAGGTGCGGGACCAAATCCCACTGCAGCTCTGTAATGTAAAAGGCAGTAGGAGCAGGACAGCAACCCCTGTCCATGGATTGGGACATCTACTTTGCGTCAGCAACCCCTTCCTTCCCCCCCAGCGCTGCTGCAGGTGGCACTGCAAAGACTGTGCTGGAGACAACTGGCTTTTAAGCCAGCTCCCCACAGCACCAACTCCTGCTGCCCCCTCCTGCCTTGCTGCCTCTATATCAGAGGCAGCAAGAGGGGAGGAATGTGAGTAATCAACTCAACTATCGGATAAGCCTTGGCTTATTGGGGAGTCAACTAGTTGATTACTCCCTTACATCCCTAATCTACGGCTGATATAGTTTGACCATTAAGATCTTACCATGCCAGCTCATACCCTGTTCACCTAGTTCATGCATTACTCCCAATGAAGTGCAGACAGGGCTAAGGCAAGCAGGATCAGACCTTTGGAAGCATCTTGGGACAAGATCTTTGTCCTCTCTTCTTCAAACACAAAGTGTCACCTGCTCCTATGGCACTAAATACAGCAACAATGGGGAAACCCAGTGACCACTGTAACCCTACTTGTCCCTCTTCTCTTACCATACCTTCTGGGGAGGAGATGGTGGAGGAGAGAGGGGTTCCTGTGCATGACGACTGATCGATTGCTCCCGAGGAGGACAAGGTGAGGTTTTCACTCTCTGGGGTCACGCCACATTCCTGGAAGGAGAGCAAACACCAGAGTAAGAGGAAGACAGGTCCCTGCAGGGGAAGCAACTGATCATATCTGGTATTTTCAAGGCTTGTATTGCTCATGGCAGATTCTGAATTGGCAGCTGTGGGGGGTTAACGTAAATAGAGCAGGTGTTTTCACAACATGCCTGTTCTCCAAGGGCCACTGCTGGGGGAGAAGGGTTTATAACTCTTGGTGCTCATTCTGCCTTTGCTGCTGTGGCTGCCAACAGGTGAGCCAAATGCCAGGTGGATGAGACTCCCCAAAGCCTTGTACATGAGCCAACACAATCTGAGTTGGAAATGGACTGATGTGGATGCCTTTTCCAGTGCACTGGACAGTGGGAACCTACCAGTGAGTGAGCTGGAGCTTTTAGGCCATGCATGACAGACTGGTCACCAATGGAGCCACCCAGCCTCCTTGCATTTTGGGTCCCCCTTATCCTTCTTTTGTTCCAGGGGTGTCAGGGCCATCCATCACCAAGCTGGTGGTGGCTGTTCTCTGGGGGTACGGCTTGAACCCTTGACCTCTGGCAGCAGATACCTTACCCGCTGCTCCACTGGAGGAGCTCCCCAATCTCCCTATATTCTAGGCCCCCCTTATCCATCCTATGTCCCAAGGGTGACTCTAGGTTGGGTGGGTGGAGCTCAAACCCTCAGCTTCTGCTTCAGGAGACAGGTACCTTATCCACTCCTGCAGCTCCCACTGATCAATAATGGAGAACTGTGGCCAGTGGAAGCAGTGGGATTGGAGCATGCATATGAGGGGCAGCACAGCACCAGCTGCCCCTTTAGGAAGGCCGGATAAGGGACGCACTGAAGGTAGAGCAGTGGGGTGGGTTCTCAAGTGGCCTAGTGATTAGGGTCTTGGCCTGGGAACCCTAAGGTTTTGGGTTGAAGCCCCATCCACCCTGACATTGTTCTTGCACCCAGAACCAGTTGCCCCAGAGATGGAGCTGGCTCCCGCATTAGGAAGGCCGGATAAGGGATGCCCTGAAGGTAAGGCAGTGCAGTGGGTTCTGGCATAGCCTAGGGGATAGGGCATTTGTCTGGGACAAGCAAGGTGGTGGGCGGTGTGGCCTAGAAGATAGAGCAGGATTGCAGGCTCAAGCCCCCGCACCCCCCCACCACCACCCCAGGAGGGACAGGACAGGGACAGCCAACACCCAACAAAGCTCCTTGTGGAGACAGCCTCCCCCATCAGCCAGGCAGCAGGGCTGGGAGACAGGTGCTCTCAGGCAATATTCCAAGCCCAGGCTTTCACTGTGTGACCTTACTTCACCTGTCACTCACGTATACAAGGGAGCCAATATGGACCCACATCACATGGGAATCATAAGGGGTCTGAGTCAATGTGCAAAGCATTAGATAACAGGGGCTTGGAACAAGAGGCCAATGAATGATTCTACCCAGAAAATGACTTTGTAAAATAGCATCTTCTTATTTAACAGATCTGCCCTGTGCAGGAATTCAGAGCCCAGTCTACTCAGTCTCTGCTATGTTTTACTGTTGTCAGCCCAGCAGGACCAACACAGCTCGTGGGCAGCCAGAAGGATGCTTTCCAGCCTCCCAAGTATCAGAGGGTATGTCTACACTACCACCCTAGTTCGAACTAGGCTGGTAATGTAGTCAACCGGAGTTGCAAATGAACCCGGGATTTGAATTTCCCGGGCTTCATTTGCATGTTGCTGGGCGCCACCATTTTTAAATGTCCGCTAGTTCGGACTCCGTGCCCCGCGGCTACACGCGGCACAAACTAGGTAGTTCGGAATAGGAAGCCTAGTCTGAACTACCTAGTTTGTGCCGCGTGTAGCCGCGGGGCATGGAGTCCGAACTAGCGGACATTTAAAAATGGCGGCGCCCGGCAAGATGCAAATGAAGCCTGGGAAATTCAAATCC